AATCTCTGCCAGGCTCCCCGTCGACACAAACTCGGTCACGATGCACATATTTGGTCGTCGCACGCAGGCCCCTGCTCACCTCAATGTCATCAGTTGAGTGTCGTGTCATTGGTCGTTGGTCGTGTCGTGTCGTGTGTCGGTGCTTGTGTACCGATGAATAGGACGATGTTGGGATGGTGCAGCTCGGAGAGGAATGCCATCTCTGCGCGGAACTCGAGCATGCGGCGCTCGTCGAGCTTCTGGTTGATGAACCGCTTCACCGCCACCTCGACGCCCTTCCACTTGCCCCGGTGGACCACGCCGTAGGACCCGATGCCGATCTGCCGGCCCACGGCGATCTCGTTGAAGTCGATGACCCACCGGCACAGGTTGGCCGACGTGAGGAAGCTGTCTTCCTTGAACTTCAGGCCTTCGCCCACCACCGTGTTCAGCGTCTCGACGTCCGTGCACCCGCTCTCCTCGGCGTTGCTCGCGCCTTCCGCCCGGGAGCCCGAAGTGATGCCACCGAAGAAGCGCGCCTCAAGGTTCTTAACCTTCAGCTCGTACACATTCGCGCCTGTTGCGCCCAACATATGTCAGCCGTTTCATGGCAATGTGTCGGGTGTGTGTCGTGTGTCGTGTGTCGTGTGTGTCGTGTGTGCGCGGTTACCCAAAGGAGCATCCGGCATTTCGAACTTGCCCAAGCTGATAAATCGCTTCTTTTCGTGCGCCAACTCGGAGTCTTGAATCTCGTCTAGCACCGATTGCGACAGCACGACCTGCACCACCACCGCCATCACCAGTGTGAGCCAAATAATACAGTCATAGAAAAAAAAGGTTAAATAAATGAAAGTGGTACGTACCTGGCCTCCGTGCGTGAGCGCGGTGATGCGCGCTGCGGCATTGACCACCGGGCCGTAGAACTCGATCCTCCTGGTCATGGGATCCCGCACCCTGCGCGGCTCGCCGAAGTGGATCCCCATTCGCACGCGCAGCCCGCGGAAGATCAGGCGGTCGTCGGTGTCTCCCCACTCCTCCGCCGCGCCCGGGTGCTCGCCCAGCGCGTCGGGCCAGTCCACGCGCAGCAGCTCCTGCTGGACCTCCACGCACCAGGCCAGCGCGTCGAGCGGCTCCTGGAACGCCATGCAGAACGAGCCCTCGCCCGACGTGGTCACCCCGGCCCGCTCCCAGCCGCCATCGCCGCCGCCGCCGCCACCGCTGATGCTCGACGTGACCTCGTAGCCGCGGTGCTCAGCGAGCAGGCCGCGCAGGAGGTCGTTGTGCAGGATCGTGGCCACGCGCATGGCCTCGGGCTGGTACTCCCACAGCGAGGCCGCCCGGGTGATGTCCGAGAAGACGATGGCGATCTGGCCGCTCGGCGGTGCCACGCCGCCCGCGCACATGGCGACGGCCGGGTCGAGCTCGGCGCTGGAGCTGGACCGATGCGACGATCGGCTGCCAGACGAGTAGGTGTGCGAGTAGGTGCCCGACGGCAGCGTCCACGAGGCGTCGACCTGGCGGGGAATGCGGGCCGCCGCGATGACCTCCGCGCCCGAGCCCGATGAGGAGGACGAGACGCCGGAGATGCTCTCGCCGGCCATGGCCCCGAGGCGGGTCATGATCTCGAGGAAGGTCGGGCGGATGGTCGGATCGCGGTGCCAGCTGCTCTGGATGAGGGCCAGGTAGTCGGGGTGCGCCAGCGTGGTGGAATCGGCCGGTAGCGGCGGTCGCAGGTCGTCCCGGATCACCGCCACCGCAATCGCAGCCGGGCTAGAGAGGCCGAGTTGCGCGTTAGTTACGTGTGTGTGTGTGTGTGTGTGTGTGGTTACCTGAGCCCGTCGTAGGGGATGGCGCGGGTAAGGACCTCCCAGAGGATGACGCCGAAGCTGTACACGTCAGTAAGTACGTAGTCGACATCGACGTCGGCCGAGTCGTCGAGAATCTCTGGCGCGGTCCAGTGAATGCTGCCCACCTGCGCCCCGCTGCGCTTCTTCATCTCCGCGCGGAACTTGGTGAGGCCGAAGTCGCTCACCTTGACGTTCCACTTGTGATCGAGCAGCAGGTTCATCGACTTGAGGTCGCGGTGCACGATGCCCGACGAGTGGAGGAAGTGCATGCCCTTGGCCGTTTGGTAGGCCATCTTGGCCTTGAGCACAAACGGCAGCACCGGGATCAAGTCGTTGTGAAGCAGCTGTAGACCACCAAAAAATGGCAAAAAAGAAAAGAAGAAAGAAAAAGGAAAGGTCAGACGGCATTCATGGGGACGCAGCTTGATACGGGGGGGGGGACGCACATCGAACAGGGAACCGAGAGTCATGTACTCCATCACGATGCACAGATGAGGGAGTGATGTCGATGCGCCCATAAACAGCACCACGTTGGGGTGCCGCAAGGCCGTCATTACGCGCACCTGCAATCCACACAGAAAGAAGTGAGTCCCCACACAACAAGAAGCTCTGTTTTAGCTATGACTGGTGTAGTACCTCCTCCCGAAAGCCACGCTCCATGTCTTTCGTGATGTTCTGGGCTGCGATCGTCTTCACAGCGACCTCGGTGCCGCGCCACTTGGCCTTCATTACAATGCCGTATCTGGAATCCATGACACGACACACGACACACACGGTCAGGGCAAACATCGGTAGAGCATGATATGTAGAAAGTGTGCGCACCCGCCGACGCCAAGCTGCTCGGCCATCTCGAGCTCTTCGAAGTCCATCTCCCACTCGTTGTGGATCTTTCTCCGCGACATGCGGACCGCCAGCAGGGCGAGGCACACGAGAAGCAGGAGCAGGATCGCCACGACGGGCACAACGCTGCCGAGCACGGCGCCCAGGACCGTGGCTGTCGAGTCTGAGCTGGAGTCGCTGACAACCGGCTGCTCGCAGTGTTTGCCGGTCCACCCAGCCCGACAGATGCACTTGCCGCTGGTGCAGTCGCCTTGGTTGTTACAGAACAGGCCGTTCGCGATGCAACCGTAGACCGAACTCATCGGCTCGCCGTCGCACTTTACCTGACCCACCACCGCGCATCCAGTCGGTGAACACGCAACCCATTTTACGGATAACAAGACACACGACACACACGACACACACGACACACGACACACGACACACGACACACGACACACGACACACGACACATACGTGACACACGAGGGAGTACCTCGGAAAGAAATTGTGTGAGGTCCGCGTCGCCGCCTGTTGCCTGGTTTGGCACAACTACCCAGTTTCTGGAAGACGCCAGCGCTGTCCAGTGAGCACGCGAAGCGAGGCGCAAAAGGGAACGGACTTGCTACGCACCGGACTGCGCTGGCATTGGCTGCAGGCGACTTCTGGGTCCAGTACACCCAATCGGCGACCGCCTGAGCCTTCAAGCAGTTGGACATGTTTTTTGCTCTTCAAAAACCCATCGACGAGACAACGAATGAGTCGTTCGTCCAAACATGGCCATGAATGGTGTATAGGAGTGTGTACCGCATGAAGAGCCTATGCACACGGACCATTGGCCACACACCAGTGCTCGCGCCTGCAATCAACGCAACATCACGTTCAGTGCATGCCCGTTCGGCAAAATGGAGAAGGCAAGGCGGACCGGGAGTCTGGGTGCTGGCGGCGCTGCTACTGGCGTTGAGCGCGGCGATCACCGAGGTCTGGTCGGCGGTCAGTGTGTTGGCGTTCATGCTGAGCCGACCGATGGCCAAGCCCCGGACCGCTCGGAAGGCGGACAGCTCGCCTATGGCGAAGCTGCCGTTGTTCTTGTTCATAGTCGATCTCTGGGCCGTTGAATTGGCCACTACCCAGGACGCATTTGAGAACACCGGGAGCGATTCGATGGTGGCATCTTCCTGGACCTGATCGTGAAAGACAAGGTGAGAAAAGTGAAGGGCGTGTGTGCACGACGCGTAGTGCGTACCTGCAAGGCAAAATCGCTGTTCTGTTCGCGGAGCGCATTGATCCATAAGCGATTGACGGCGGGCCGGTTGTCAAAAACGACGATGATGGCCAGGCGCGGCAGAGTGAGGCCCGGATTGAGTGTCGCTATCGCCTCGTCATCCCAGGACGTGGTCTTATTGAGCATGATGTCCGCCATCAGTTTGAAGCTGAAAACCAGCGGCTGGGTGACATTGATTGCCGATACCTGCAAGTCAAGCCAGGTCAGAGCCACCACATTTATATGATGTAAATGAGTCTTGCGCTTTCACGTACGTGATAGGCGGGCACCACGGCAGAGGCGACCAGAGGAATCGAACGAAGATCAGGTGCCCTGGCAAGCTGACTTTGGGTCGGCATCTCAATCGACATTTCAAAGTCGACCACACCTGCGGCGCGCACCAGACGTTTGTCAGCCCGAGCACTCACAAGAGTAGAAGGAAAGAAAAAGAAAAAGAAAAGACTACAAGCGTCACGGTACCGTTACTGATCTGCTCCAGCGGCATCTTGTGATCGTCGGTGTAGATCTTAAGGATGGTGTCGGTGTTCGAGTAGCTGAGCGACCAGTCGGTGTAGATCGGCAGCCCCGCCGAGCCCAGGCCCAGGAGGTAGGCCGTTGGGAGGGCCTGCTCGCCGTTGCACGTCACCTGGCCCATCAGATCGATGAGCTTGCTCCGGTAGGCGAAGGCCAGCGGCATGTAGCCCATGTCCGACACCTCCTCGATCGCTCGGTCGTTGATCTGCGTCCACGCGATGAAGTTGAGCAGCTCCTTGATCGGCGTGCAATCGGCGGTGGTGACGTGCTGCGACAGCGCCAGGAAGGTGATGAATGGGATCGGCCACGAGTCGTTGCCCGGTCCATTGTAGAGCGGGGTTTCGAGTTCGCCTGTGGTGCGCCAATAATCAGACAAAGAAACGATGGTGATGGTGATGGTGATGGTGATGGTGATGGTGATGGTGATGGTGATGGTGATGGTGATGGTGATGGTGATGGTGATGGTGATGGTGATGGTGATGGTGATGGTGATGGTGATGGTGATGGTGATGGTGATGGTGATGGTGATGGTGATGGTGATGGTGATGTTACTTACCAGCTTCCACAGCGCTGTTAAAGTCGTTCATTGCGCTTTGCACAGAGGCCGTACTGGGCATCACGATGTTGCCGGCGCGGTTCTTCATGGCCGCATAGGTCATGGTGTCGGGCACGTCCTCCAACCAGTAGTACGTCATGCTGTACGTTGTGTTCTGCAAAAACACAAATCCAAGGCATGAGACGTTGGGGGCCAACATATGTTGGGGTGGTGGGTGCACGTACGCGCACATATTCGAGCCGTTCAGGATTGTTCCTGGTATAGTAAGCATGCCCGGTGATGGTGGGCTTCATGTTCTCGAACAGGTTTTGGGCGTCTTCGAGCTCCTGCTTGAACTGCGTGCTGAAGTTGGACAGGGCGTCCTTGAGCAGGAGCACCGTGCCGGCCGTAATGTTCGGGTAGTACGTGAGCTCGATCGGCGCATCAGGCAGGTCCGCCCCTTCATTCAACTCAGCTAGTCGCACATCGTTCCAGCTGCATCAATTAAATCGAATCAATAATCTGCAGACTACAAACTCTCAATCTTTTCGCTTGTGAATGAGGAGTGAAGTCTCGTACTGCGATATATTGCCACACCAGATGAGCGCCAGCGTCTCGCCATCCAGCACCTGCGATGAGGCCCAAAGTAATAAGTAATGTAAACGAAAAACAGAAAAACAAAAAAAAGATAATAACAAAAGATAAATATTATATCAATTAATTGCCTGTCACGTGTGATTGGATCGTAACCCGATCTGTGTAAAAACGCTAAGTTCGCACAAGGAGGGAGCGAAGGTTACTCCGTGAGTGAGAGTGATGTGGTGAGTACCAGCTGGGTGTTGTTGAGGGAGGGCAAGTTGTAGACCATGACGAGGGCGGAGCCCACCATGGGCAGGCGGTAGAGGCCAGCCTCCACCATGCCCGCGGTGAACTTGGAGTCCACCATCATGAACTCTATAAGGCCATCCTGATAAAGATCGATGGCCTCCATCACCGCCACACCCTCCCACTCGATATCCACCGAGTCTCGGTAGAATGGGTACAAGCGGCTGAGCTTCTCGTAGAACTTGTTGGCGCTGGTGCCCCCCTTGCCATAGATTGTGGTGGCCTCTGTTGCCCAGTGCACAGAGAAAGAGAAAGAGAACAGATGAAGTAGTCCATACTTGACAAGTAAGCGAGGGGCAGAGAGAAGAGGCTGCACTCACCTGCACCGAGCGAAAACAGAGCAAACAGAAGTCCAAACCAAACCTGCCGTGCACGACCGCGCGTCATGTGGCTCTCGCCTTGAGCCTTGGTGTGTTCCCTTCCCTGCGGCCACCGAGCGAAGCTGTTCGTTGCTCGCATTCCGGCGCGGCTTCCTTCCATGTTGCAACGACACGGGGCGCTTTACATCGGTATGTGCGGGCCAAAATAGACCGTCTCATGCCATCGACCAATGCGCAACTGCCAATCTACTGTGAACGTGGCACTGCAACTCTGGTGTCTGCACTACCGTGAGTTCGGGCCAGCCCATTTAAACAACTCGGTGCTAGCGTTCTTTTTTCCAAACATACTCGCAACCTCACCTTTGTACCGTACTATCTCTACTGTAATACTATTCACGACGATGATGGGCACACGCAGCTCGTCAATCGTGCCTCTGTGCCTGCTGGTGCTGGTCGCTCTCGTGGCCGCCGCTTCCGCCCTTGGCCCCATCGCCTTCACGGGCCAGGGCGTCATCCAGGGCAAGTGGGCCAACCAGGTCCAGCAGTTCCTGGGCGTCCCCTTCGCCGCGCCGCCCGTGGGCGAGCTGCGCTTCAAGCCGCCCGTGCGGTCCGACTCGTGGAACGGCGTCCGCAGCGCTACCGCGTTCGGCCCCAACTGCCCTCAAAACGGCCTGGCCGGCGTTCAGCCGCTGCCCAACCAGAGCGAGGACTGCCTCTACCTCAACATTTGGGTACATATCTGTTTTTTTATTTGTTCGTTGCAACGTCTTCTTTCGTTCTTCTTTCCGTTGCTTTGTCGACAAATTTGTTTGACAATGTTTCTCCGTGATTGGTTGATCACCACCCGATCTTGCCCGATAGGCTCCTCTGCTGGCCAATGCCGGTAGCAACCTGCCCGTGATGGTGTTCCTCCACGGCGGCGGCTACCAGACCGGCTCCGGCGCGCAGCCGGTGACCGACGGCTCGGTGCTTGCGGCCACCACCAACTCGATCATCGTCACGGTCAACTACCGTCTGGGCCTCTTGGGCATGCTCGCCCACCCGGCGTTCCTCGAGGAGACCGGCACCTTCGGAAACTACAACATCATGGATCAAGTCCAGGCACTGCGCTGGGTTCAGGAAAACATCGGGTTCGTTCTCATTCTTTTTCTCGCCAGTCCGGACCTAAACTTGTGCCGGCATTTTGAATTGTATTTCTAATCGGTCACTGACTGCACACCAGGTTCTTCGGTGGTAACCCGTCGGCGGTGACCCTGGCCGGCCAGTCGGTGGGCGGCATCAGCGTGGCGATCCACTTGGTCTCACCCCAGTCGCGCGGCCTCTTCCAGCAAGCCATCATCGAGAGCGCCGTGACTAGCAGCCTCACCAACCAGAGCTACGTCGGCGCGCAGGGCAACACCCTGGTCGCCGCACTCAACTGCAGCACCTCCTCCAACGCTGCCATCCGCGCCGTACTGCATTCCTTTCTTCGTTCTTCGTTCTTCTTTCTTCTTCGTTCTTTTAGCTCCGATTGCCTTTTTCCATGCTCTGACCTTACCATTGGCCTGGGCCACCAGTGTCTCCGCGCCGCCAGCCCGGCCACCCTCCTGAACCTTCAGAGGACTGTACAGCCCGCTCCGGCCAGGCCCTCGGTCGACGGCATCGTCATCCCCGACCAGCCCCTCGCCCTGCTGCAGAAGGGCTACTTCGCCCGCGTCCCCGTACGCAATCGGATCATGATTTGGGCCAATCTGATGGATCACTAACCACCGATCATCTGCATGTGTCGGACCAATTGCAGGTGCTGGCCGGCAACAACCGCAACGAGTCCACCGTGTTCCGTGCCAACGCTCTTTCGTACTTCAACGGCGTGTACCCGATTAACCAGACCTACTTCAACCAGTTCATCAGCAACGCGGCCCAATTCGGCCCCAACTTCGCGTCTGTGGTCGACCAGCTCTACCCAGCCTCGTCCTACCCGACCGTCTTCGCCCGTCTGGCCGCCATCGAGGGCGACCGCGACTACACGTGCCAGGTGCGCCACTACCTGGACCTCATGAACGAGGCCGGCGCTTCCGACCTCTACCTCTACGAGCTCCGTCGTGCTCTGCCCTACACCAACCCGCAGACCTTCCTGGGCTCGTTCCACTCGACTGACGTACGTTGCCTCTATGACCCACCACGGCGTACGATGCGACCTTTGTCTAATAAAACTGGACACCCGCCACACGCACCACCGCATACGCACACGCACACGCCCACGTGACAGTTGAACTACATTTTCGGCACGTCGTGCATCAGCGACTTCTGGCCCTACGGCCCGCCCACCTGCCTCACTGGCACCGCCCCCCAGTTCTGGGCGGCGGGCAGCGTCGACTACCAGCTCTCGCGCCAGGTCATGACCCTCTGGGGCAACTTCCTCTGGTACAGCTCTTGGAAGCCCACTCACCAGCATGACCCGCCTACTTGCTAACTTACCGCACACGCACACACGCGTCGCACACGCACACAGGAACGGCACTCCCGGTGCGTTCTGGCCCACCTACGACACGACGACCAAGGCCCTGCAGGTGATCAACGTCAACCCGTTCCTGCATGTCGAGTACAACCTGGCCTCGGCCCAGTGCGCCTACTGGGACAACCTGGTCGTGTTCTGCGGCGACGGCATCTGCAACAACGGCGAGAACCGCGTGTCGTGCCCGAGCGACTGCAACACCTGCCCGTAAAGAAAGAAAGAAGTTCGCCCTCTTTTCCTCAGCAGTTGGTCATGGATCTCAATAAATACTGATGACTGGGAAAACAGCTGTCCGGCTGCCTGTCCTCAAAGATGTAAAGCAAACAACTGTCCGTGTTAGGTGTCGGTACCAGCAGTTTTGTATCAGCGGTGATGAGGGAACCACTGCTGGCGACCAGCGAAATCGATGTCGAAATCTGCCCCGCCAACCACCAGACCAGGTGCTGGCCCGTCGTGCTTTCCGAAAAGACGACGACAAAAGCCGCAACCTGAAAGTCGCCAGCTGGAATTCGAAAATTGAAGCGCTGCACCAGAAGATCCGTTCTCTGCAAGCAATCAATGAGGAGATCATCGTACATGTGGAAAAGCTCCACGAAGTACTCCACTACGTCCTTGAGGACGGCCTGGTCCGATCGATCTGCCATGAAGCAAGCGAGTGGCTATGGTCAGGGACGTGGCGCTGGGCCTGACCTATCGCACTAAGACATCTGGAGGGGGATCATCCACCACAACATCAAGTGGAGTAACATGCTGGTCGACGACCAGCACTCAAGGTGGGGGACTTTGGCTTCGCGACGGCCAAGCAGATGAACGTGACGCAGACACCGGCCTGGACAGCACCAGAGGTCTTCACCCACAAGACGGGAGGCTCGCCCATCCAGCTGCTGCTCAACCGCCTCGGCGCGCACCGTATCTTCATGATCAAGCAGGACGAGAATATGCGTATGCGTCATGTGGGAGGTCCTCACGCTTCCCTACAACGAGAATACCGCCCTCAACGTGGCACTGTACGTGGTCAACGGTGCCCGACCTGCCGTACCCTCGAACGTCGACGACCCCAAATACGTCAAGATCATGAAGAGGTGCCACGCCAATCCCATGAAATGACCGAAAATGAGCGACATTGCACACTACTTCAACTCTATAGCTGGAGGCGACGTCCTGGGGCCATGGTGTACGTGTTGCAGTTGCCCACCGCAGGCGCAAAGTAAGGATATCAAACGAAAATTGTCAAGACGAGGTCCATGCTAAAGGGGTGTCTGGATTTATTTGGCCTATTTTGAACTTAACTCCGTAAATGCTGCTGCATGCACGCTGAAGGCAAGAAGGGAGCGGGGGGACTTCTTAGAGCTGGGACTCGATCTTGTTGCCGGTCTGGTTGACGTTGACCCAGGGCTTCTCCTTGTGAATGGTCACCAACAGGACTCCCTCGGGGAAGGAGGTCTCGCCGGGGCAGTAGGCAGTACCCTCGCTGGTGACGACGAACTTGATCTTCTTGGCTGTGATCTTGTCGACGAAGGCCTCCTTGTACATCTCGTCCTTCTTGCACAGCTTGATGATGTTGTCCACGAGGCCGGTCAGAGTCTGGTTGATGACCCTGCCGACGAGATTGCCGTCATCCTTCAGGGCCTCGTGGATGGCCGCTCCGTCGGCCTCGAAGGTCCAGCCGGTGGTGCCGGTGGCGTCCTCCAGCTTCTTGATGACTGCGGCGTGCAGGGGCTCGGCATCCTTGAGGCTCTTCCTGGCGGTGAGGGGCAGTTGGGTGGCCATGGTTGGGTGTTGTTGTTGGTGGTGGTGGGTGGTACTGTCCGGGTGGGTGCGGCCTTTTATGTGGCAGGCTGGGGAGGACTTCACTGAACCCTAACCACCAACTCCTGGGAGAATAGAATCCTATTCCTGACAGGCAATTTTTCTTGTTGGCTACTTTATCCCCTGAAACCACCACATTTCTCCGGTACCTCCTTTAACTTCAAAGTCTGACCAGCCCACCCGCCGATATCATCGTTGGCCATGCAAACGGAGTTGTTGTTGTTTTCTTCTTGCCAAAGGCGGCCGCGACGACCCGCGTGAAGGTGGCCATCGTCGGTGCTGGAGCCGCAGGCATCGGAGCCGGTTACAACTTCCACGAGAAGGGCATGGACGACTTTGTCATTGCGGAGGCCCGAGACCGAGTAGGAGGACGCTTGCACTCAGTTCAGGTAAACAACTAAGTTGTTTCCCCTATGATCAATGACGAAGCACCGCTTATGATCTTCATCAACATCAACAACAACAGTTCTTCAACCACACCATGGACTTGGGCGGTGCCTGGTTCCAGGGCACTAACGGAAGTCTCCTCTGGGAGCTCAAACAGTACGTTTTTACCGCTTCGCGATTAGAATCTACTCTCCTCCACTTCAACAGACTGCCTGCCAAAGCACGGGGAAGCTGCGGGCGCCACAGGCTAGACCTTGGCCAGACACAATTGGTGGCAGTCTCTACGAAGCACTGAAGACAGGTGGCGATGGCGGTTACGTCGGCAGGGTCCATCATCCTGGCCCCGGCCTGGTGAAGATGTGCAAGCGGGACGGACGATGTAAATTACGAAAAAGATTAGATTAGGGTCATCCACAGGGAGAAGAAGCCCTGGCACAATGTCATCATCCACAGACGGGCAACAACAAGGTCTTGGCCCAGCTTTTCGCCCAATAAACACCCTAAGGGTCCATCTGGAGAAGTTCGCGTTGAGCCGGCTGCTGGGGACAAACAGCTGTTGTTAGCCCCCGTTTTCTATGCTTTATTCACAGCACAGAAGGATTGTCGTAGGCGTCCTAATGTTCCTCCAGCTGACAAGCAGGCATCTTAACTTGGGGCCGAGATTCATCCCGCACGCAACATTGGCGCAGACAACAAGGACAGTCACTGCTGGTAGGTAGACGTGCGGCTTTATTCTCTTGCTGAAAAACGAGTGAAACTGATGTCGTCAGCGCTAAGTCGCCCGTGATGCCCATCGCGAAGTAGAGCCCCGAGCATGGGCAAAAGCTGGTCGAATGGTATGAGAAAGGGTGGAAGCTGCTCTACAAGGCCTCGCTCGACGGCTGGGCCAGCACCGACTTCCACTCGCCATCTCAAGCGCAAACCCAGGCTCCTGTGGCTATGCGGTCTCAGAACGGCGGCCGTCGCACTCCGCCTTGCCTTATGGCTACCGGACACGACGGGGAAGGGCCAAAGCCTCTTCACTGGCAGCCAGAACTTCCAGGTGGCCAAGGTCGAAGTCTTCGCCCAGCAGTAGCGCACCAAAACCACCTCCACCTCCACATGCGCACCAATCAATCACCGCTGCTTGAACAACAATAGAGCCAGTGCTCGCGCACTCTTTGATCACAACTTGTGTTGGGGCTTGAGCTGGCGTATGCGCCGCTAGTTGGGGCAGGTGGGCGTGTGGACTTCGCCGCCTCCAGTGCCGGTCAGGGTGCGGGCGGCCACGTTGCCCACAATCTGTAAAAGATGCGTGACGATGCGGAACCATAACGCCGGGAACGGAGCGGAAGGAAGGAAGAAAGAAGAGAGCGGGTGGTGCACTCACCTGAGCGTTTCCGACGATGATGTCGGCCAGCGGAGCCAGGAGGTTGCCGTCCAAGTTGAAGGCGTTGACATGCACGACAGTCGAGCAGATATTCCACGTGATCAACCTCGAGGAAACCCCACCTACCTTGCATTTTACAAAGAAGGAGGAAAAAAAGGAAAGAAAAAAATGGTCTCATTACAGTTCATCGTCGGCGCTTGGCCCGAAGTTGACGTTGTCGAGACGGGCGCTACTCTGGCGTCGTTGCCACCAGGCCACCACAAGCGCTGCGACGATCACGGCCACCACGAGCAGCACCGCCACGGGTACCACCACCGACACGGCCACGATCAACGCCAGGTCTGAGTCTCCGCCTCCACCTTCTTTGTCCTTGCCCTGCACGAGCAGCCCCAAATCTGTTCCCATCGCCAGTCAGCGTGTGTTGTGTGTGTCGTGTGTCGTGTGTGTCGTGTGTCGTGTGTGCTTTTGCTGACGCTTGCGAGAAGCGTACCGGGATCGTAATACAGCGATGAGGCGAAGTAGGGGAACTCTAATGTCAACGACGAGTCGGTAGCGTTGGCCCAAAACTGTACCTCCACCGTCTGGTTGCCGCCATCGACGTAGGCAAAGTCCACCAGCCGCACCACCGTGGTCACGTTGGCCAACGCGCCGCCCTGGCCCTGCAGCTCGAGCGTGGTCATGTTGGCTTGCGGCGTACCGGGGCGCATCACCACCTCGCTGAACTGCGGGTTCAGGGCCAGCTTGACCCTCAGCCTGCTGCCGTCGTCGCGCCACGGCCAGCCGGTCACCGACAGCGACAGCTTGGCCAGCGATTGATCGACCGTGAAGGTGTACTTGCTGCTGCCGCCGCCACCGCCGGCGGTCGCGTTCGACGAGCCGTTGGTTGCGGGCGGCGCGTAAACGACCGAAGTGTTGCGGTCGAACAGCAGGACTTCCAATTCGAGGCTCCCTGAAGACGTCGATGCTGACGACGCGAACAGGCCCGTGGAGAAGCGGAATGCTTGGAATGCAACTCCGGCGTTATCGCTCACCGCCCAGCGGCCTAGCGAGAGCGAGTGGACATTCATCACATTTCAGTCTAAGACTCATTATGCGAAGGACCACTTGTCGGGGTTATGCCGCGTACCTGAGCTCTGAATGTCGCTCGCTCGTACGACCGACTGATCGAGGCCGTCGATCTCTTGCACGTTGCCGACCGAGAAGGCCACCTGACCCTCTGCCGAACTTTCACCTTCGCACATTCAGGCGTGATTAGAACTATGACATTCCCTATATGCTTTCGCACTGTCTAGTACCGGAGGGGGCCAGGCTGAACACTGGGGCGGTGGCGTTGACCGTTAGCTCGATCGGCACGAGGGACGACTGATTGGAGATGATGACCGGCGCCGCGGGCGGCGGCAGCGGGGCGCCCAGCACAGCCGTCGCCAAGTCCTTGGCGCCCACCAGATAGAACGAGACCGCGGGCATCAACTCCACCGTGTCACCTACGTTCAAGAAGCGGATGCACTGAGGATATCCTGTGGTAAACAGAAAACGACATAACACACCCAACATTTTAGCTCCTATGTCAGCGTATAGAGCATTTTTAGCTCCTATGTCATCGCACGCATAAAACCGCATATACGGTGTGGGTACCGGGGCCGATGTCGCACGACTCGTAGCTCTCGGTGGACGAGTTGAGATTGAGGGACAGATATGAGGCGAGCGGCGCGGAGGCGCGGGCAATGGCGACAGCCTGCTGCTGCGTGCCGGCCGGAATGACGAGTGCGGTCTCCTCGAACTCAATCACAGGCAGCGGTATTACGCAATTCGAGGGACCTGAGGGTGCAAGGCTGAGCAAGATACGCAGGAAGTGAGCGGCTAGTCCGGGGCGTGTTCGTACCAAGATAGGGCTCGGCCAGCGTGATGTTGGAAGGCGGAGAGCAGGCAAACATGGTTCCAGGCCTTGCATAGGCGAGCTCGATTGTGCTGTCCCCGCCAAGGTTGAAATCTGGGTGATAGCGGGCCTTGGTGTGATTACCAACCACAGAACAGTAATTTTCAATATGTGACGGCACAAGTTAGAAAGATGCGCACCGGTGCCGAGGCCGGAGAGACTCAGCCGGCCCTGGAATACCAGAGAGCTCGCGCCGCTTGCTGTCACGCTGTCCACCCCTTTGTGTGTGGTGAGCATACATCAGCATTCCAGTGTGGTGACGTTATGACCACACGTACCTCCACTCTCTATGGTTACCGTGCCCGCAGCCGTGAATTGAGACCCGTAGGCAAAGATGCCTTAAGACACCACCCGACCCCCCCACACAGGAGATCAGATGGTGCACACTATCACCGCACTTTGGGCCTAATTGCGCGTTTGCTGGTTTGTTGTACCAGCGGCGGAGGCGACGATTTTAAGCGGCCCGTTGAAGTTCATAGCGCCGTTCGCCAGCTGAATGCCGGTGCCGTCTGGCGTGTTCGTGACGTGGAGGGACTTGGTTAGACTTTCCAATCCTTCAAGACGAGAAGACTTGCCAATTTCCCAGTACCTGATTGTATCTCGACCTTGGCGTTGCTCTCCCACGAGCCTCCGACCCCGTTATGGTAGATGCCTGCGTTTGCTGGGAGGGCCAGGGATCGTAATTAGGGCACCCGGTTTCTTGCAGCGAAGAGAATGTGGTGATCTGCGCGCTATCTAGAGTCTCAACCAGCTTTGCTGTGGGACGTACTGGATCCCTGTGTATGCAGCACCAGGGGGCCATTGGCCACGACGTGGCCGCCCAGGCCGAGTTGCATGGCGTTGCCGGTCAGTTGTGAGTCACCTAACGACGCAGCGAAGGACGAAGAGGTCAGACCGATCACTGCAAGCAGTGCGTTTCGATTACTCGCGTACCTGCGGTGCCCGAGAACACCGTGACTGTGCTTTGGGTGGTTAACGTTGTCGCGATGACATGGATCCCGACTCCTGCGCCACAGACGATGGTTGTCGATGAGTCAGACTCTGGGTCTCTGAGTTCGGACCGCACATGAACGAAAAAGAACGGCTCGCACTTACGGTCATCGTGGGCGGTCGAGTTGACGACGACGTTGTCCAGCGTGGCGTTCTTTCGAACCTCGACTCCGCCCATGAAGGTGACGTTTTGCAGCAGCACATTCTCGACGAGCAGCTGCAGCGGCTGCACCGCCGAGAAGACGATAGCCTCCGGCGGTCCCGCGCCCCTGCAAAAGAACGAAAACAAGAACGAAAACGAAACGAAACAATAAACAAATACATTTTGAGAAACACGAGGAAAGAAACGGCCGAACCTGATGGTGAGGGAAACCATGTCGGACTGGATGGTGTCGTTTGCGAACGTGTAGACGCCCGGGTGGACCTCGAGCACGTCCCCATTAATCGCCGCGGTGATGGCCTGCGACATGAGGTAGCAGGGTATCACTCCCCCGGTGCAGTTGGGGTAAACCTTGTAAATACCAACCGCCCCCACCGACACTTTCGTGGGTGATGTAACATAAAGTGAGAAAATAGTTGAGTTCACAATAAAAAAGTAATATCACCTGTACAGCTTTGAGTAAGGGGGCATACCAAAACTAAAGTAAATCAAGAGGAAGGCAGCCAGCAGCGTTCTCATGGTCCCCTTGCTCTTCTGCTCCAATGGTAAAGGTGGTGCTGGTCCGTTGGGGTCAAAGTGATTTTTAAAATAAGGCCTTTTGTTTATTGGCTGACTGTATTAAAAAACTGAAAAAGTTGCACACAGATATCGGTGGCTGTGGAGAGGTAGAACAAGAGGCTGGAGAGGTGGTAGTGTAGGGGAAGAGAAGAGCGCTCCTTCTTTAAGGGCACTGGGGGAGGTGGACCTCGCCACTCCCGGTGCCGGTCAGCGTGCGCGCGGCCACGTTGCCGTTGATCTGCGCGTTGGTGAGCGACACGTCGGCCAGCGGTGCCAGCAGGTTGCCCTGGAAGTTGAAGCTGCTCACGCTCACGCTCGTCGCCGAGCACACGTTCCACGTCATGCGCCCGTTGGCCACACCCCCGATGTTCAGGTCGAATCCGGAGAACTCGACGTCGTCATCGCCGATCACGTTGACCACGACCTGCTGGACGGCCGAGGCGTCGTCGAAGGCGAAGCTGATCCACGAGGCGGCAGCGAGCTGGGCGGTGGTGATGGTGAAGGTCTGCGAGGCGCTGTCGGAGCCGGCGAAGGTGATGCGGTTGCCGGCGCCCACGGTGGCGGCGGTGCCCTCAACGCTGCACAGCGAGCTGGAGCCCGAGGCGAGGTCGGAAGCGACGGCGGCCAAGTCGAGGCCGGTGAGCGCGGTGATGTCGCCGGCGATGGCCTGGCCGTTGCGGAACGACACGCCGGTCACGGTGGTGGTGTTGGCGGTCACAAGGTTGCCGCACTGGATCTCGCCGGTGACGTCAACGTCGGCGCCCGAGGCGATGAGAGTGGCCTGGTTGGCGGCATCGCCGCTGCAGGTGAGCCTGGTGCCGAAGCCGAAGCTGCGCGCGAACACGCTGCCGTCGACGGCCACCTTGCCCCACACGTCGCCGTTGATCATGTTGAAGGCGAACTCCTTGTCGGCGTTGCCGGAGAGGAACACGTTGTAGGCCGCCGCGCCGCTGAAGAACGAAGGCGGGCACGACGGCGACGGAGCGATCGAAGGCTGGGGGGTCGACACGATGGGGGGCGAGGGCGAGGAAGAGGGTGAGGCCGAAGGAGATGCCGACGCGGAGGGCGAGGGCGAGCTCGACGGGGACGACGATGCAGAGGGCGACGGCGAGGCGGAGGGAGAAGCCGAAGCCGAGGGCGAAGCAGACGACGAGGGAGAGGGCGAGGCCGAGGCGGAAGCCGACGGGGAAGCCGAGGCCGAGGCCGAGGGCGAAGCAGAGCTGGAGGGCGAAGCCGAGGGCGACGCGGAGGTAGAGGGCGAGGGCGAGGGCGACGCGGAGGTGGAGGGCGAGGCCGAGGTAGAGGGCGAAGCCGAGGGCGACGCGGAGGTGGAGGGCGATGCCGAGGCAGACGGCGAAGCAGAGGGCGAGGCCGAAGGCGAGGGCACGGGAGTGGGGCACTCGGGCACGTGCACCTCACCGCCGCCGCTGCCGCTCATGGTCTGCGCGACCACGTTGCCCACGATCTGACCGTTCTCGACGATCAGCGACGAGTTGAAGGCCAGCAGGTTGCCCTCCAGACCGAAGCCGCGCACGGTCACCTGCTCGGCAGAGCACACGACGTAGGTGATGTAGGCGCCCGGCACGCCGCCGTTGTTGATGCCAAAGTTGGTGAAGGTGAGGTTCTCGCTACCCACGATGGTCACCACCACGCTCTGCACGGCCGACGCGTTGGGGAAGTTGAAGGTGGCCGACGAGGCGACGTTGATGTCCGACGCGTTGACGGTGAAGGCCTGCGAGGCGTTGGCCGAGCCGGCGAACGAGATCTCCCTCCACGGCGACACCGTGGCGGGCACGCCGCCAGCGGCGCATAGGGCGTTGGCGGTGGCGTTGAGCTGCTCGGCCTCAGCGGTGAAGTTGACGCCCGTGATGTTCTGCACGCTGCCCAGCACAGGGCGGCCATTGGCGAAGCCCGGCAGGGTGACGATGTCGGCAGTGTTCTCGGCGACGAGGGTGCCGCACTGGACACCGCCGACGAAGTTGATGGACGAGTCCTCGCCGGCGACGATGACCGACGCGACCGACGCGTTGCACGGCACGATGCGCGAGCCGACGCCTAAATTGATGGCGCGCAGGCTGCCGTTGGTGGCCACGCGGCCCTCAACGTCGCCGTTGGTCATGTCGAAGGTGTAGTTGGCGCCCTCGCGGCCGAGCAGGAACACGTTGTAGACCGACACACCGGAACCGAAGAGGGGCGCCGGGCAGAGGGGAGTGGCCGAGGGCGAAGGCACGGGCGACGCCGAGGGCGACGGCGCCGGGGTGGAAAGGATGGGCGACGTCGACGGGGCGGCCGAGGGCGAGCTGGAGGGCGAAGCCGAGGGCGAGTTGGAGACCGACGGCGAGGGCGAGTTCGAAGGCGAGTTGGAAGCCGACGGCGAGGGGGAGTTAGAGGCTGACGGCGAGGGTGAGCTCGAAGCCGAGGGAGCGGGGGAGTTGGAAGGCGAGCTGGAAGCCGAGGGCGACGCAGACGACGAGGGGGAGGCCGAGGCCGAGGGAGAGGCCGAGGTCGAAGGAGAAGCCGAAGCCGAGGGCGAAGCCGACGACGAAGGCGAGGCCGAGGGAGAAGCGGAAGCCGAGGGCGAGGCCGAGGACGACGGCGAAGCCGAAGCCGAGGGCGAAGCCGACGACGAAGGTGAAGCGGAAGCCGAGGGCGAGCTGGAGGGCGAAGCCGAAGGCGAGGGCGCGGGAGTGGGGCACGTGGGGACGTGCACCTCACCGCTGCCGGTGCCGGTCAGCGTGAGAGCCACAACGTTGCCGAGCAACTGCGCGTTCTGGATGCTCACCGTCGACGAGGGCGCCAGCAGGTTGCCGTAGAGGCCGAAGTTATTGATGGTCACGGTGGGCGCCTCGCACACCACGTAGGTCACCAGGCCAGAGCTCACGCCGTTGAGGAAGGTCTGGAAGCCGCCCATGTTGATGGCACCCGAGCCCACAATGTTGACCACCACCTGCTCGACTGCAGAGGCGTCGGGCACGGTGAGAGTGAGCGACGACGCGACGTTGATGTCGGCCACGTTGACGGTGAAGGCCTGCGAGGCTCCGCTGGTGCCCTGCAGCGTGATGGCGTTGCCCGACCGCGTGGCGCCAATTCCGCCGGCCGAGCAGAGCGACGAGGCCTGCGCCTGGAGCTCGGTCTTGGCCGCGGCAAAGTCGATTCCGGTGAGGTCGGACACGCTGCCCTGCACCAGCTGGCCGTTGTTGGCGAAGCCGGGCAGGGTGACGATGGTGGCCGAGCTCTCGGTGACGAGCGAGCCGCACTGCAGACCGCCGGAGAAGCTCACCGACGAGCTCGCTCTGTTGAGAAGAAAGAAAGATCAAGTCAGCACAACAGAGAGAAGACGAAGGCATTAGGTAGGCAAGTAGTGGTCGTACCCTCCAATGATGACGGTAGGCGTGGAGGCGTTGCAGTTGCCGAGGCGAGTGCCGACGCCAAAGTTGACGGCGCGGAAGTTGCCGTTGCTGGCCACGCGGCCCTCAACGTCGCCGTTGATGAGATCGAAGGTGTAGCCGTTGGCGGCGCTGCTGCCGAGGAGGAACACGTTGTAGGCCGAAGCCGAGCCGAGAAGCGAAGGCGGGCAGGTCTGCGCGGCAGCGAAGCTGGCGCAGAGGCCCACGAGGACGACGCACAATGCGACTTGTGCGCTCTTCATGTCGTTGATGATGGTGGGGTTCTACTACGTAGGGAGCTGAACTGACGGTTGATAGGACTGGAACTGAGCTGAGTTGTAGAGAGGAGCGTGTGGTGAGGTCAGTTGAGCGCTGTGTGGTTGAGAGATGAAGATAATGGATGGGACCTGTACCGGCCCTTTAAATACTTTGAGCGCGCCACCTCCACCAGTCTGCTCTCCCTGGGATTTCATCGTCACCTCCCACTCCCTGCCCACAAACGCGGAGGTTGTCAGAGTTCGCGTCTGCCGGCAATGGCCCGCAAAGCGCCAACTCCAGCTGATCCAGCCTCCTGTTCGTTCAAGCTCCCAGGAATTCCCCGACCCAGGCCACCTCCACAGCCCGCACCAGCGGTCTTATCGCGATGAACACGCGTGCCAGCCTCAGGTCAAGAGTTGGCCTGTAGTCTCTTTGGAATTTCATGGTATTTGCTTTATCTGGGTTAATTTTTTGGATTTGCCCCCCCCCAAAGCTAAAGCGAGGTTGAAGAGTTACTCCGTACGGCGGAACGCTGAGGAAAGGGTGCGTGCCGGCGTCGACTTTGCGGCGATCTCGTCCTCGCTCGCCACTGCAGCTGGCGCTTCTCTTGCTCAAAGCCCTTTGGGCTCGGCACTACCACTTCTCTCTGACGTTATCCTTCATTAGCTCTTCGCTGAATTTGTAAAAACCGTCAGGATATATAAACGGTAATGAACCCAATATTTTTGCTTTGCCTTCTTCTCGAGAACCAATAACAAGAAGATGAAGGCGCTTATGCTGGTGCTGGTCGTGGTCTCCTCTCTCTCGCTTCTCGCTGCGGCCTCCCCGAGCGGTATTCCCCACCAGTTCCTCCCGGGCGGCTCGCTACAATCATCACTCCGGCGCTCCTGCGCCCCGCTGTGCTGGGAGCAGTACGATTCGACAATTGACCTGCGCGAGTACTACCGCCTGGACGGGTGCCACCAGTTCAACGTGACCCGCCAGTCCAAGCGCAACCCCATGTTCAACGGCTGGTCGCTCCAGCCGGTCGAGTCAGTGAGCCCGGGGTACCTGTACCGCAACTCGTGGACCGACTTCTCCCTGGGCGACGACACCTTCGCCTTCCAGTCGTGGCGCAACCGCTGGACCTGGACGCCCGACGCGTCGTCGATCGTCCACACCTTCATCTACCAGTCGGCGGCCCAGCCGGCGGCCAAGATGGAGGTGTTCGACACCGTGGCCTTCACGTCGACGGTCTACCGCGTGCACAACGCCACCTTCATCGCGAGGGAGACGACGCAGACCACCCAGGAGATCCCCTACGCCGGCCCGGTCAAGCAGGACACCACCCACGAGACCAGCTACTTCCCGCGCCTCCTCGAAGGCTGCAACTCTGGCCAGTGATCCAGCACAAATGCTGCACAAACGCCCACCCACCGCGCCAAGGGCAACGTACGCTGGACAAGGCCCTGCATGTGTGGTCGAAGAGATCAGCTCAAGACTTTCTGGGGTCCAACAAGTTGTGATTGAAAGAGTTGGCGTGCTTGCTCTATTGTTCTTGTTGCACGACAATAGCATGTGGTGCGCTACTGCAGGGCGAAGACTTCGACCTCAGCCACCTGGAAGTTGCGGTTGCCGGTGAAGAGGCTTTGGCCCCTCCCCGTCGTGTCCCGGTAGCCATGGGGGAAGTTGAAGTTCGACGCCGTGCTGGCGTTGGCGTTGGTCGCGATGTAGAGGTCTTGGCCACCAAACGTCGGACCATAGGCCGCATGCCCGAAGGCAGCAGAGGTTGCGCTTGAGATGGCGAGTCTTGTTGGAGGGATGCCGTGTGGGTTGGCCAGCGTGAAGAGCGACGCAGAGGGGCATGTGATGTAGTTGCCCAATGAGTTCCACGACTGGGCGAGGTGGCCGCCAAAGATGTGGCCGCCGGTGCAGCGCACCACCGTCACCGTGGCACCCTTGCCGTCGCATCGCGAGTGGAAGTCCTTACAGGCCCAGCCGTCGCGCGAGGCCTTGTAGAGCAGCTTCCACCCTTTCCCATACCACTCGACCAGCTTTCGCCTATGCTCGGGGCTCACGATCGACCCACCAGCGAAAGACGGTTGGCGGAACTGCACGCCATCGAGCTTCAACCCATCGAGCAGGCGGTTGACCTCGGCGACGCGTGCGGCGAGCTGGTCCTGGCGCGAGATCTGGCTCAGGGTCTTCTCCTCGACGGCGCCCAGGCTGGTCTGGATGAGTTCGAAGTTGTGCAGGTACTTGGCCAGCTCGGTCTGGGCCTTGGCGTTGCTCTTGTCGAGCAGCTCGAACTTCTCCGCGATGGCGAACAGCTCGTGGTTGAGGCGCTTGAGGTCGTCCCAGCGCGTGGCCTGCCAGTTGGGCTTGTCGTTGAACACGTCCCAGATGTCCGTCACGAGCTGGACCTCACACTTGAAGTCCTTGAGAATGTCCCCCACTGTGTGGCCACCCACGTGAGGCATTATTCGTATTCATATAGAAATAAATATTTCATTACTGATTCGGGGGGGGGGCCAAACCTTTGACGGTGGAGGATACTTCCTCGAGGACCAGGCCGTCGTCAAGGAAGGCGAAATAGTCGTAGTGGAGCACTTCGTGGAGCTTCTCCACACGCGCGATGATCTCCTCATTGATTGCGTGCAGAGCACGAATCTTCTTGTGCAGCGCCTCCATTTTCGACTTCTTCCAGAATAGAGGTCCTCCAAGTCCAGCTGAACACACGGACTTTGTTACATGCTTCCGCAGCTTTTGTCTCGTCATTACCCCAAAGGCCCAATGTTGCTGCAGAAAAAACAGGGTGAAGGTCAAGGTACACACTGGGGGGTCTCCTGCATTTGCAGGGAACCATTTGGGAGGTGGGCCACATTGTCCTGCACCCTGAGTGCATAGATTGTATCATATCAAGCTCACCCCCTGCCCATGGCTGAGCCTATCTCCTGGCCAGGTGGGCACTTGTAGGGTAGCAGTTTCAGTGAGTCCCATGGGTACATGCAGGCACTGCTACTATGCCAGAAGTGGTGGCCAAACTTTTACACGCCAGCAATAATTATTCTATTTTATAATTAATTTATTATTCCTATTTGCACGAAACCGTAAACGTGATGTTCACCTTCGTTTCGCACAAAGTTGGAAAACTTTTTACGCCTCCGTTTTTTTGCAAAACCAAAGTACCTGTCGGTTTTAGCTCTTTCGTCGGCGCGCGGTCATGGACTGGGAGGACGAGCCGTCGGACCTTGACGTGTGGCTCACGCTCCACAAGATCACCGACCTGCGCTCCACCCTCCTTTTGAATGGGTTCCTCACTCTGGATGTGGTTCTCGAAATCGACGGGCAAGATCTGGACGCGATGCTTTTCGCCCTCAGCATTGTTGTACTTTCATCAAAGAAATACGAAAGAACTGTGACGAGCGCAAAAAACACGGAAAAAACTGTTTTTTCTGCATTTGTGCGAAAAAAAAGGTGAACATCACGTTTACGGTTTCGTGCAAATAGGAATAATAAACACAAGTTCTGGGAGACTAGGAGGAAAAGAGGGAGCCAGACTGCCGCTTGAACCCGCTGAAGGGCAGCAGGGTCTTCTTCTTCTTGCCGCTCGGCGTACCCATCTCCGTGCTGTGATGCCGCGACAGCACGCCCGTCTCGCCCGACGAGCCTGATTGGCCAAAAGATTAAAAATAAGTGTCTGGAAAGAGAAGAATGCTACGGGTCGTGTGCGTGTGCGGTGGTGCGTGTGCGGAGGTGCGTGTGCGTGTGCGTGCGACGAACCAATGCGCTGCAGGAGGGAGTCGTCGTCGAGAGGGAAGAGGGCCTGCTCGAGGCCGTTCATCTGCTTGGCCATGAGCTCCCACATCATCTGTATCTCGGTCCATTCCTGCAGCGTCTGCTCCGTGGTCTTCTTCATTTCGTTGTTGTCGTTGTCTCGCCGCAGCAGCTGCAGCTGCAGTTCCCTGGAGAAACAACCCACATTCCACATCAGTCTTGCACACGCACCACAGCACACGCACCACCACCACCACCACCACCACCACACACACACACAACACACCGCACACAACAGAAGAGGGTGTTGAGTTACCGTTTGGCCTTGATTTCCTGCTGCAGTTTGAGCTTGATGAGCCGGAGCTCGTCCTCGATCTCCTGATTCTTCTGGCGCTGGTCGGCGATCATGAGCTTGAGCAGCGACTTGGAGGGCTTCTCGCTGTTGGCCCGCCGCTGGTGCTGCAGCAGCACCTGGTGCGGCGAATTGGGAGGCAGATCGCCGCCGCCGCTGCCGCCGCCGTTGCTACTACTGCTGCGTCGATCGAGCAGCACCTCGCGGATGGCCAGGCGCCGACCGCTGCCGCCGCCGACGTCGATCCGCTTACGGCTGCGCTGGCGCCAGTTGACGAGCTGAACCTTCTGGCCGTACTTGGTCATGACGTACTCGTTGATGACGTGTTGCCGCTGCTTGAGCGCCAGCACAGTCTCCTGGCCCCGGAAGCAGCGGTCGAGCAGGTTGTAGAGCTTGGCCGCGAACAGGGCCTTGTTGTTCTTGGTCAGCGCCTCGATCATGCGCTCGCGCAGCGATGCAAAGACAAAGAAGAACAGGCTGTCGTCGTTCCACTCGTTGCCGCTCTGGAACAGCGCGCCCAGGCGCCCGCCTTCGCTCAACGTCGTGTCCGCGGACGCCGCTGACGCCCTTCAAGTGTGTGGAATGTGCAAAGGAATGTGGTGGGAATGATGTGGAATGTTAAGAATGATGAGGAGTTGGAACCTTGATTTCTTAGATTTGGCCGACTTCTTGTTGTCGCCCGAAGAGCGGCTGGAGAGGGCGGCGACGAAGTGGCTGGCCCGTTCTCGGAGCTGAGCGACGGCTTCGTTTGAATCCGGGTGATGATTGAGGAAGGCCAGCGGGTCGTCCTCGTCCTCGATCGTGAATCGAGAGGCCAGGCACGACAAACCCTGGCCCACGATGTGCAAGAAATGCCGACCGATAAAGTCCAACGAGTAACCGTCTGATGACACACACCACACGCAACACACGACACGACACGACACGACACGACACACGACACACGACACACGACACACAACATAACGAGGTTGGCGGTGCGCAACCAAGGCGGGGTGAGGTGAGGGAGTGGTACCGGCGTTGAAATTGGGGACGGAGGACTCGCAGGTGGTGAAGGCGGGCCGCAGGAGGCAGGAGAAGAAGAGGCGCGCGACGATGAGCGGCGCCAGCTCCTGGTTCAGCTTGGCCATCTCCGCGTGCGCCAGAATGAGCACGAACCGCACTTCTCTGCACAGAGACACAGCGCACTCGCTTGTGAGTCTCTCACCGCGAAGAGTTAAGAGTGCAAAGAGCGAAGAACGAAAAGAACGAAAACGATGGCAAGGAAGTACTGAGGAATGATGGGGGCGGAGGCTGCCAGTCCTTCGAGGACCTCCAGCAGGCACTCGAGAATGAGCTCCTGCCGCATGAAATCGCCGGCCGGAAGCGCGATGGCCTCCAATCGTTCCTCTATTCAGTGCATGATCGGTCAGGCGAATGTGTGCGTGTGCGTGTGCGTGTGCGTGTGCATGTCCTTGTGCGTGTGCGGCGCGTGCGTGCGGTCGTGCGCGGCGTGTGCCGCACCTGTGGTGAGTTTGAGAATGATGGGCCGCACGCAAGCGCCCAGAAAGCTCTGCGAATGCAGCATGAACCAGCTCGTGAGCACATGGGTCGCCATCCCCGCCCGCAGCTCGAACCAGCTTTGGCCGCGCACTGTGTCGGCGACAAAACACTCGTGAGTGGCGTGAGCTAGGCTGTGGCGTGGCGGTATTTGAGGAATGGAACGCGGGTACGCTTGGAGCACATGTCGATCTCCCGCTGGATGGCCCACATGAGGAGGTTCTGGTCGCGCCCGCAGCCGTCAAAGACGGAGACGAGCGCCGCGGCGAGCTCTGGCCTCAGCGCCGATGGCAGAATCTCTTCCATCGCATTCACTATCTCCAGGCCCGGCGACACCAGTAACTAAGGTAGTAGACGCACCTCAGATCAGACCACACGGCACACACGGCACACACGGCACACACGGCACACACGGCACACACGGTACCCGATGAAGTTTTTCTTCGGGGCCGGCGTCAATCGGAGTGAAGAGCTCGCCGCCGTGCAGGGTGTGGTACCGCGAGTCGTCGCGCGTGGCCATCTTGCGCAGGTTGAGAAAGGGCACCGACCCGGCGTCAGCGCCGCTGCTGCTGGGCTCGCCGCCGACGGCCAGGCGGCCCTGTCGTGCAGCGGGGTGCGGCGAGCCCGAGGCCGGCGCCGAGTTGGAGCAGGCCACGGAAAAGGCCCGCTTGCGTGGGGTGGACTCGCCGTCGGCCGCCGCGTCCGCGGTTTCGTGGGTCGGCGCCGACACGTTCAGCTCCGAATTCTTCTTCCTCGCGATCGCCAGCGGAGCCATCAACGACTAGCCCGCCACAATCGTGAGCACATCGTGTGTGCGCGTGCGGTGTGTGCGGTGTGCGTGCGTGTGCGGTGTGTGCGTACCTGTCGAGGAGACGGCGAAGGCGACAGCACATTTCCTTCCCCTGCAGTATTTAAATTAAATCAAATTACAACTTTCATTATATCCTATCATTTATCTAAATTAGGAATAATGCAATTAAAAATATTTAAAGCGATAAAAGAAGAGAGGACGTGGTACCCGTCTTGGACCGCACTTCGAGGTCGCGTGACTTGCGCTTCTCGAAGGAGAGCCGCTTGAGGAAGCTGGGCGTGCGCTCCCGCTCCCTCCCGCCCTCTCCCCAGCCGCCGCTTTCCCTCAGCACCTCCTCCGCGTCCTTCAGCACCACACTCGTGCTCCGCTTCGCCGCCACTCCCACCGCCGTCGTAGTCGTCGTCTCCGCGCCACCATCTTCCGGCGCCGGCCCGACATGCCCAGCCGGCGGCTGCGGCTGGTGTGTCTGGAGCTCGTGGGAGAGCTCGTCGGCCTCCCAGCTGCGGCCGCGCTCGCGGTCGGCCTTGTCCTTGGTGCGCTTCTTGCGGGCTCGCGGGCTCGACCGCGCCGCCCGCCCCGCCCGTCGCTCCTCCTCGGGCGAAGTTGGGGCCGTCGAAGTGGATGGACCGGGGTCGGCGGAGGCGGCGCGGAGGCGGGCGGCGAGGAGAGGGTTGGTGACGACGACCATGGCCTCCTTCCCCGCGCCTTGCATGGTCGTCCGGGAGCAGAAGAAGAACGAAGAAAGAGAAGGGGGGGGGAAGAACGAAAGCGACGGAAAACGGAAGAAGAGCGAAAGCGAAGACTCAAGGGGGAGGAGAGCAGATAAAATGGGAGTTGAGAGGATGGATGGATCGATTCAGACGGAGGGGGGTGTGAACAGCTTGGGGACGAACAATTAAAATTGGGCGCATGTGTTTGGCTGGATACCGCGATTCAGGTGACGGGAGCCCGAAAGAGGCATATTTTACATTCCAAGCTTTAAAAAGAGAAAGGAACGAACTCACGAGGCTGCCTTGTTGTTGCTGCGTAGATCGACACGGTCACCAAGGGAGGGTGCGCGTAGTTACTACTTGATGTCGAACACCACAGCGTTATTGGCGACCTTGTACACACTGTTCACGATCGCCGCGTTGATGAAGGTCGAGTCCCTCTGCTTCACCACTCCGTACCTGAACGGGGTGTGTGTGTGGCCATCGCTCTTATGAGCTGCCTCGAAACGATTGTCTTAAATGAAGGAGCAAAGGAGGTGGAGGTGGTACCCGGTGTGAATGTGGCCGAAGCAGTGGACGGCGGGCTTGATACGCTTGAAGACGGCATCGGCGAGCAGCGGGCAGCCGGCATTAGCCCCTTGGTAGGTCTTGTCGCGCACCTTGTGCGGCGGCCCGTGAGTGATGAGCACATCTACGCCTGCCGGCACCTTGGCCCAAGCCGCCTTGAGCCCCGCGTCGTCGGGCGGCATGAACGCCCAATCGTGGTAGTACGGCACCCTTGGTGCGTGTTTGCGACAGAACACGTCAGCACGGTGAGCTCTCAATGTGTGGGGAGTGAGGTCTTGTACTTACCATGGTGAGCCCCAGATCTTGATGCCGTTGATCTCGCACAGTTCGTCCTCGAGATAGGTACATACACTGCGCAGACGCTGCTTGAGCTCCAGATGACGCTCTATCTTCTCCGTGTGGTAGCGCCAGTGGTGTCGCTCATAGAACTCAGAGTGCAGTAGCACGTCGTGATTACCTGCAGCACCCGAGAGCTAAGCGGCGAGAAGACGTGCTGGCAAAGAAGCAGGTGCAACGTACCCGCCACGATAACCTTGTGCGTGTAGGGTTGTTCGTGTAGCCATTCGGTGAAGTCGACCAGCTCTTTCTCCTTGCAGCTTAGACTGAAGTCTCCCGCTATAGCATCGCATCAAAAAAGACACACGACACATGACGCGAGAAATGAGAGGGAAATTATCAATGGGACGCATGGGTGGTCGTACAGTGAAGCAGCACATCGCCGGCGGGCAGCTCGAGCATGCGGTGCCTGTTGTGGGTGTCGGAGATGCACACGAAGCGCGTGGCGCCCTCGGGTTTGGGCGGGATGGCGTTCTTCTTCCTCTGCCCCACCGTGCCCACGTTCCACACCTTCACCTCCCTCTTCGGCAGCGTCGCCGCCCTCGAAGCAAGCTGCCATCCTCCGCCACCTCCTCCCATCAAACTCGCCAGCTCGTCGTCCTCGCTGTCTCCCTCCTCCAGCTCTGCCCTGTACTCCTTCTCCCCTTCATCGCTCTCGCTCTCGTCACTACTATGGTCTTCCTCGCTACTCTCCGCTACTTCTTCTTTTTCATCTTCTTCTACGTGCGTCATGTTCTTCTGCGGCTCAGTTGCGACGGCTTCCAGGGCCTGGTCGTAGGAAGGTCGCCAGGGCGGCACCCGCTCGAGGGCGCTCAGGTCGGAAGGAAGCGAGGAGGCGCCCGTGCACAGGGGGCAGGGGTGGGGCACGTACAGGTACCACCCGCACTCTTTACAGCACCACAACGGCGTCTTCTTCTGCTTGGCCACCTCACTCTTCGCGGAGGGCACCACCTGCCGTGCCGCTGCTTCCTGCTCCTTGGGTTCCATCTTCTCGGTGAATGTGGTCCAGGTCCTCACATCTTTTTGTGCTTGGCCTCACCAGAGAAAATGATAAGAAACAGTTTGTGCTCGTTTCAATACCCGGAAATCTGAACCATTTCTTGCGGTGTGTCTAGTCGTTGCAAGCGAACCAGCGTGGCCAGTCCAGTGTGGATGACACTGCTCGGCACATGCCGCTGCTACCTGCTTTATGTGGATGGAACGCCGGTAGGAAGTGGGTACGTGCCACAACCTAAGCCCCCCCCCATATTATGAATTCCTCAGGGGTACCGTTGCCAAAATCAATTTCGTTCACTTCTTGTCCGTCCAGGCAAAAATACTACAATTCAACACAAATACTACCATCCACTGGGCATATAATTGTGACAACCAGAGGAGAGGCCACACTTCCTGCCGTTCCTGCTGGGTCCGAATTGTTTTTGTGATATTTCGACCCGTTTACACCTGGTCTCGCCCGATTGGGCAGAATGGGGAAAATTCGGGCGAAACCGAGTTTTAACTGGTGCCTGGCAGGCTTGTCGCTACGCACGCAACACAGAGAGATCAGATACAACAATGGCCCGTTCTTGGCATGTTCTACGGCCTTGTGGGGCTCGCTTGCCCTGCGACAGTGATCATGACCGGTCCAAAGGGCGCGTTCAACCAGGAGCCCTGGGGTAGAGCGCCCCGAAAACCCGGCTGGAAGAGAGCGGAGCTCGCCCGCGACCAATGTATTTAAGGCTCGCATTCGGTACCCCATATTCTTCACTCTACCCTTTCACCGACAGCACCAGCACCAACTCTACAGGCCTCTAGCCAGCGCCCTCAGCTGCACGCCTACCAATTCCTGCTCTATCGTCGTAACAGGGACTCAAGAGCTCACCACCGATCAAGACCAGCTAGACTCCAACGATCATCGCCACCACCACCACCAACGACATGATGAGAGCACAACTTGCATTGTGCGTCGTCCTCGTGGGCCTCTGTGCCAGCTTCGCTGCCGCGCAGACCTGCCCTCCGTCCTTCTTCGGCTCGGCTTCGGCCTACAACGTGTTCCTCCTCGGCGGCGGCTCGGCTGCCAACACCTTCGATCTCACCAACGGCGACGTTGAGGGCCGCGTGGCCAGCAACGGCAACTTCCGCGCCGTCAACGCCGGCGTCGGCACTCGCCTCGGCAACTGCAACGCCTCCACTCCCACCGCCGTCATCGGAGGGTGCGCGTGATCACACAACTCTCATACTTTAACTTTAATTAGTTCATAGTGCTCACTCTTGTGTGTTTGGCATTCTTCAGAGCGAGCTCGTCGGTGAGCTTCTCCGGCGGTCTGCAGTGCGGCTCGCTCGTCACCGAGAGCTCGGCCACCATCGTCACCCTGCCCGGCTTCGCCAACAACGGCCAGCTGGTGCAGGGCAGCGTGTCCGACCTCACCGGAATCGACTTTGCTGCGGCCAAGACCGAGCTCCAGGCGCAGGCCTCGTCGCTCTGCTCGGCCGGCGGAATTGGCGCCACGCGGTCGGGCAACGCCATCACGCTGCAGGGCACCAGCGGAGCCTCGCAGGCCTTCACCGTCAACGTGGCCGACATCAACGCCGCGTCGTCGCTCACTCTCACCGTGCCCGACGCCTCTGCAGTCGAGCAGGTGGTGGTCAACATTGTGGGCTCGAGCGCCATCAACATGGGCGGCTTCCAGACCTTCCTCAACGGCGTGAGCTCTGGCCTGGTGACCTATGTCGTGTGCGAGGCGCCCACCGCATCGTTCACGAACTTCGGCCTCTACGGCAACCTGCTGGCGCCCTCGTCGGCCGTGACTATCCAGAACGCGCAGCTGCTCGGCAACGTTGTGGCGCTCTCCCTGACTGGCGCCGGCAGCGGTGAGGTGCACGTCCCCACGTGCCCCACTCCCGCGCCCTCGCCTTCGGCTTCGCCCGAGGCCTCAGCCTCTGCCTCCCCCTCGGCTTCTGCTTCTCCCTCGTCGTCGGCCTCGCCCTCGGCTTCCGCTTCTCCTTCGTCGTCGGCTTCGCCCTCGGCTTCCGCTTCCCCGTCGTCCTCAGCCTCGCCCTCGGCTTCTGCCTCTGCCTCGCCAGTCGCGTCGCCGTCATCGTCGGCCTCGCCCTCGACTTCCGCCTCTGCCTCCCCTGCGGCGTCTGCCTCGGCCTCCCCCGCAGCTTCTGCCTCCGCCTCCCCTGCGGCCTCGGCTTCTTCTTCGCCTGCGGCGTCGCCTTCGTCGTCGGCCTCTGCCTCACCCGCGGCTTCTGCCTCCGCCTCCCCTTCGATCTCCGCCTCGGCTTCGCCTTCCCGCTCGGCGTCTCCCTCGCCGTCGGCTTCGAACTCGCCTTCGCCTTCGCCCTCGGCTTCGGCTCCGGCGTCGCCCTCGCCGTCCACCATCGTGTCGACTCCTCAGCCTTCGCCCTCGGCTTCCGCGTCGCCTCTGCCTTCGCCCTCGGCCACTCCCCTCTGCCCGGCGCCCCTCTTCGGCGCCAACGTGTCGGCCTACAACGTGTTCCTGCTCGGCCGCGAGGGTGCCAACTACACCTTCGACATGACCAGCGGCGACGTTGAGGGCCGCCTAGCCACCAACGGCAGCCTGCGCGCCATCAGCTTCGGCGTCGGCTCGCGCATCGTGCCGTGCAACGCGTCGGTCGCATCGGTCATCGTCGCCGGCGAGAACACCACGATCAACTTCCAGGGCGGCGTTCAGTGCGGCACCCTCGTCGCCGAGAACTCGGCCGAGCTCATCTCCCTGCCGGGCTTCGCCAACGGCCGACCGCTGCTGGGCAGCGTGCAGAACATCACGGGCGTCAACTTCACCGCTGAGGCCGAGCAGCTCAACGCCACCGCCAACGCCCTATGCGCCGCTGGCGGCGTGCCCGCCACGGTGTCGCCGTGGAGGGAGATCTCGTTCGCCGGCTCGGCCAACGCCACGCAGGCCTTCACCGTCAACGCGTCGGACATCAACGTCGCCTCGTCGGCCACCTTCAACTTCCCCAACGCGTCGGCCGTGCAGAGCGTGGTGGTGACCATCGTGGGTAGCGAGAACCTCACCTTCACCAACTTTGGCATCAACAACGGCGGCGTGCCGGGCGCCTACATCACCTATGTTGTGTGCTCTGCTGACCTGGTCACCGTGCGCGGCTTCGGTCTGGAGGGCAACCTGCTGGCCTTCAACTCGTCGCTGATCGTCGAGAACGGTCAGATTGTGGGCAACGTGGTCGCGCAGACCATGAGCGGCAGCGGCGGCGGTGAGGTGCACGTGCCCGAGTGCCCCACTCCCGTGCCCTCGCCATCGGCCTCGCCCTCTGCCTCGCCCTCGAGCGTGCCGGCATCGCCTTCGCCTTCCACCATCGTATCGACCCCTCAGCCTTCGTCGTCGCCCTCGAGCACGCCTTCGGCTTCCGCCACGCCCTCGCCCTCTTCATCGCCCTCTTCGTCGCCCTCGTCGTCGCCCTCGAACTCGCCTGCTCCTTCGGCCTCGTCGTCGCCTGCCGCGTCGGCCTCAGCTTCGCCCTCTGCCTCGCCCGCCGCGTCGGCTTCGGCTTCGCCCGCTGCGTCGCCCTCGTCGTCGCCCTCTGCCTCGCCTGCCGCATCGGCTTCGGCGTCGCCCGCCGCGTCGCCCTCTTCGTCGGCTTCGCCGTCCGCGTCGCCCTCTTCGTCGCCCTCCAACTCGCCCGCTCCCTCGGCTTCTGCTTCGCCCGCCGCATCGCCCTCGGCTTCGCCGTCGGCCTCTCCCTCGCCTTCGACCCCGCCAGCGTGCCCGCCTTCGTTCTTCGGCGGCGCGGCGGCCTACAACGTGTTCCTCTCCGGCAACGCCGACAGGCAGTTCGCCTTCAACATGACCAACGGCGACGTGTGGGGCAAGGTGGCCGTCGACGGCAGCGTGTTCGTGCGCAGCTTCGGCTTCGGCACCAGGCTCACCTGCAGCGGCGACGCCGCCAACCAGGCCACTCTCATTGCGTACGTCTTCTCCACCAATAGCTTTCGTGTTTCGATCGAAAGTGAGCTCACCAATTATCTACACACAGTTCGGGCTCGACCGTTGACGTAACGGGTGAGATCCAGTGCGGCAACCTTGTGACCCCCGCCTCTACCACCGTGACCGGCGTGTCGTTCCGCAACGGCCAGGCCATCACCGGCGACATCACCTCCATTACTGGTACAACCACGCCTCTCTCCGCCATAGCCGTTCGTCCCACTGACCTCTTCTTCTCACGCGCAGGCGTCAACTTTGGTGCCATTGAGTCGGCGCTTTCGTCGGCCTCCAGCTCGCTGTGCAGCGCTCAGGGCACCGCACCCACCGTGGGCGCCGGCAACCGCCTCACCTTCGCCGGCTCCGACAGCGCCTCGCAGACCTTCACCATCACCACCGCCCAGCTCGCTGCCGCCTCGTGGATCAGCTTCGCCTTCGACGACGCCTCGGCCGTCGAGCAGGTCGTCATCAACGTGGTCGGCAGCGACGCCGTCGAGTTCTCCGGATTCGATCTGGACATCGGGGGCGTGGCCAACGGGCGCATGACGTGGAACGTGTGCTCGGCGACGAGCGTGAGCGTGAGCAGCTTCAACTTCCAGGGCAACCTGCTGGCACCGCTGGCCGACGTGTCGCTCACCAACGCGCAGATCAACGGCAACGTGGCCGCGCGCACGCTGACCGGCACCGGGAGTGGCGAGGTCCACCTCCCCCAGTGCCCTTAAAGCTTCGAATTCGCAAGCTTGAATACGCACTAGCAGCCGCTGCATATGCGACGCCTGTGTGACCTACACATTTTTCATTTTTTTATACCACTACGTGGTTGTTTGGACGTTTGACAAATACATCCCATCACTATTCAAGGACAGTCTCTGCTTGGTGTCTGGTCCAACATGAGGCTTTCTTCCACTACGCTGCATTCGCACGTCAACCTTGGGGAGGAAAGGATCGCTGACGTCAGCAACGAGTTTCTTTTTCTTTCTTTTTTTTGTACTCAAAACGAGATGTCGTGGCGATTCGGTTCGATTCATCGTGTAAATCAACATCGCTCGCGTCAAGCTTGAGGCTGGCACATAGAGCACGTTGGCCAATTCAATCCACAGGTGTATGCGCAGAAGGCAGCTGCTGAGTGCTGGATTGATCTTCTTCGCCTTCTTCACGGGCACGCTCTGCCTCTTCATCCTTTCTCTCGGCCCGCCTGGACAAGCTCTTTTCGCCATCTCGAGCAGTGGCCTCCACATCAACAACAACTTCAACTGGCGCCAGTTTCGATTCAATCCAGATCGCAACATGTACGTTAGACGGCGCGAGGAGAACACGAGGGCCTACCTCGACTTCTACTACAAGGAGCCCATGGTCGCCTTCAACCCCTACATCCAGGGCAAGCCTCAAGATGGCGAGCACCAGGGCAAGAGCCAAAGCAGCACAAAGAGCACCCTGGAGCCCTACACGGACCCCATACCGGCCTTCAGCGACGTCAAGGCCCGCCTGCCCACGCCCTTCTGGGAGGGGCACCAGGAGGCCATCGACTGCTACTGGTCCACCTGGGAGATCGTACCACCACCCACCACTACCATCACCACCTTCAACTCTTCTTCTTGCCCTCAGCGCGTTGCGTTGCTAATTCCATTCATTCTTGCACCGCCAGGCCTTTCGTAACATCAAGCCCGCGGGGACGGAGAACGGCTTCGTGTCCAACTTCATCGACACTGCGTTCAACAACTGTCTCTTCATGTGGGACTCGGCTTCATCCTCCTCTTCGCCAGGTACCGCACACACACACACACACACACGCCGCACGCACCGCACGCACCGAGTATGCGTTTGTGCTGATGAATGTGGTGGCTTCTCCCGCTGGTAGGTACGGGTCGCGTGCGTTCGATTTCCAGCGCACGCTGGACAACTTCTACGCCAAGCAGCATCCCGACGGGTACACATCTACCGCTCAAGCTCTGCACTCGAGGCCTCTGGGGCACCCCACCTAACTGGCGGCATTCCCTGCGTAGGTTCATAAGCCGCGAGATCCACCAGTGGGACGGCCAGGACCAGTTCCACCGACACGACCCCACATCCACCGGTACGCGCCACGTAACGATATTTTGAGTGAAGAAGAAGAAGAAGCAGAAGAAGAAGAAGAAGCAGAAGAAGAAGAAGAAGAAGAAGCAGAAGAAGAAGCAGAAGCAGAAGAAGAAGAAGAAGCGGAGAAGAAGAAGAAGAAGAAGCAGGCGAAGAAGAAGAAGACTACCTACTGAGAAGGTTTTGTCGCGTGCAGGGCCCAACGTGCTGCCGTGGGAAGAGTGGGAGTACTTCCAGAACTTTGGCGACGTGCAGCGAATCAAGAACATCTTCTTCCCTCTGCTGGGCTATCACCGCTGGTACGACTTTGCCTCTTTTTGCTCACCTCCCACCACCCACCACCACCGTTGTCGTCGTCCTGACGATTCGTTTTTCTCCTTAGGATGCGCAAGCACAGAACGTGGCCCGATGGCACCTACTGGACCTGCGGCCTCGGCTGCGGAATGGACAACCAGCCGCGCATTCCCGAAGGTGCGTACCTCGGTAGCTTTGCAATGCCCGAACGTCGCGCTAAGCGGGGCTGTCGGGGGGGGGGGAGTGCAGGGTGCAATGCGTGGGTGGACCACGGGCACATGGCGTGGATCGATGCGTGCGCCCACGCCGTTCTATCGGCCAAGGTGCTGCTCGACATGCACCAGGTCGTCCGCGACAGCGGAGCTAAGGTACATGCGATCGAGCTGCCAACGAACAAACGTGGTACAGAAAACAGCGTCGGTTGGCTCAACTCATTTTTTTCTGTCTCGACAGGAGAGCGAGTGGGAGGTCGACCTGAGCGACCTCCGTGAAGAGGTCGAACAGCTCACCAAGTTCATCAACGACGCCATGTGGGATGACACCGTCGGGTTCTACCATGACCGCAGGCAAGCTTAGCATTCACTTCACTTACTCGTGATGCGGCGTGTGCGGTGGTATGTGCGACGTGTACAGATTTAATGGTGGTTTAATGGCTTGGTCTGCACAGGCTGAGCCGACTGACGGGCCAGGAGAAGGGCAAGCGAGAGGGCCTGTCGGAGGTCAAGACCATCGGGGCCTACTGGACCCTCCTCGCGGGCGTGGTGCCCCAGGAGCGCCTGGCCACGTTCGTCGGCCATCTGGACAACCCCGCCGAATTCAAGACGCCCCACCGCGTGCCCGCCCTTAGGTGCGTGCCCCTGTGTCGTGTGTCGTGTGTCGTGTGTCGTGTGTCGTGTGTCGTGTGTCGTGTGTCGTGCGTGTGTTGACGTCCTTCTCCTCTCCTCCCTAGCCGCGACCATCCCAAATTCGCAGAGAATGGCGACTACTGGAACGGCGGTGTCTGGGCGCCCACCAACTACATGGTTTGTGAACCACTGGCCTTCTCTCTCTGTTCTCTTTCTCTCTTGCTACAGCTGCCGCAGCATTAATTCTCGTCTACTGCTACTACTCGCGCACGAAACGTGCAGGTGCTGCGCGGGCTGACGAAGAACGGGCAGGACGAGCTGGCCTACGAGATCGCGGCCAACCACCACCGGGCCGTGGTCGACGTCCACCAGCAGACCGGCACCGTGTGGGAGAACTACAGCCCGTCCAGCGCCGCCCCCGGCTCGCCCGCCAAGAAGTACGCACCACCGGCCGCCCCCCTGGGGCGTCTCTGCGCGCGCTGACCTGGGGCCGTGTGTGTGTGAATCAGGGACTTTGTGGGATGGAGCGGTCTCGGCCCGATCGCCATCTTCCTCGAGTACGTGATCGGTCTCAGGCCTTACGTCGAGAAAGGTGCGCACATGACACGATCCACGCCGCACACGACCAACGACACATGCGACACGGCACAACGCCTAAGACGAGCAATGCGTTTGTGGGGGGCAGGCCTGCTGGTGTGGGACGTGAGGCAGTTGGAGGCACACGGGGTGACCCAGTACCCGTTCGGGCGCGACGGGTGGCTCGACCTGTCGTGCGAGGCACGCACCAGCGCGGCGTCGCGCCCGCAGGTCACCGTCAAGAGTTCGGTTCCGCTCAAGCTCGAGCTCCGGTGGAACCATGCCGGCGATGACAGCGTCCAGGTCGCACTCATAGACATCCAGCCCTACGCCAACTGAGTCTTCGAAAGAAGTTGAGTTTAGTGCCAGTCAGCAACCATTGGACGAACTTTTTAGGCGCTGGCTTCACCGAAATGGTCGTACGTTACAAAGACATTTTGGCGCTGCCCAACGGTGAAACGCAAAGATTGTTGAGCATGGCAGACAAGAAGGACGAGGGCAAAGGCAGCAGTAGAGGCGGCTCCAGGTCGATTATCGACGAGATAGGGCGGGAGCGGGCGGAAGCACTCATGGCGGAGGAGGTGAGGAAGGCGGCGGCCCGAGCTGATGCCATGGGCTTGCCGCAGGTGGTCAGGATAAACGGAGCGTGGTGCCGCAGATACCCCGACGGACGCGTCGAAGCCATACCCGACACCACCTCGAGCTGAAGATAATGGTGACAGAATGTTGGTGATAACAGTATTTATAATTTTATTGGAAGAAATTTAATGTTTACAAAATAAACTAAAATATTCACACAAAAAGGGACGCCAAACGTATTCACACATAAAAGCCTCAAATGAGGAAGTTGTAGTCCTCGAGGTAGTTGTACTCGTCGTCGTCGTGGCGGGCCATGAGCAGCTCGGTGAGGCGCTCCTTCTTGGCGCCCTTCAGCGCCGAGAAGCTGGTGTCGCCCTCACCATGGAACGGCACGCCGGGGAACGGGGAGCTGGCCCGCGCCAGGTCCTCGCTCGCCGTGGCGCCCACCACGCTCGGGCGCCGCTTCTCGCCGGCCGCCTTCATCGCCGCCGCCAGCGGCGCCGGCTCCGCGTTGTTCTTGCTCGACCGAAGTCGCACCACCTTCATCTTGTCCATCGGCCCCGTCGCATTGTCGAGCACCTCGAACAGCTCTTCTTCATCACCGCCGCCGCCGCTGCCGTTGTGATCGTCGCTGCCGCCGTCGAGCTTCTCTCTACGGGCAGCCTCCTGGAGGAGGGCCATGTAGGCCCGCTCGCGGTTCTTGAGGTAGGCCAGGCGCCGCTTGAGCTCGTCGGTGTTCTGGGTCCAGTCCTCCTTGTCGGCGCCCTCGACCTCGCCCGAGTAGCGCTTGTGGAACTCGAACGCTTCGTGTTCCCGGCGCAGCTTCGTGCGAATCGTGAGCAGCCGCTCGTGCAGCTCCTCTCGCCGCTGGCCCTGCTGCAGCGCTACACACACATTTCAAACTAATCAGCCTCCACCGCACACTTATACGCACACGCACACACGCACACACCACACACGACACACACACACACACACACACGTACATGGAACGCAGAAGTTGGCTTCGGACTGGGAGAGGAGGATCTTGCGCTGCCGGGCCTTGTCGAGGAGGACCTGCTTCTTGGCTTGGAGCGCGCGTATCTTCTTGTTGGCGTGGGTGATCTCGCGCAGCAGCTTCTGCACCTTCTGCTTGCTCTTGGAGGCCCTGCTGGACCCGGCCGCGGCGGTGAGCTCGGCGATCTTGGCCGTGTTGCGCGCCACCACGTCGCGCTCCTGGCCGATGATGCTGTTGATCAGCTGCACCTCGACCTCCACCTCGCTCTTCTTATCGTAGCACTTGCGGCACGTGATCCGCAGCCGCAGCTTGGGCTGGGCGGTGGACTTGGCGCTGCTGCTGCTTGCTGGTGCTGCTGGTGGCGGTCGCTGGGTTGAGGTCGTACCACCGGTCCTGCGACTCGGTGCCCGACACGGAGAGCAGCGGAATCTTGCACATCCCAAAGTGGTGCTTCCGCGCGCGGCCGCGGTACTTGACCCGGATCACGATCGACGGCGACTCCAGCTTCGTGCCCACAAACTCCCTGCACGAGCGATAGTGGTCGCAGTGTTAGACAAGCCACACACACACACACACACACGACACACACACACACACACAACACACACACACACACAACACACACAACATCACAACGCGTCGCACACGAGAGTTGTAATTGGTCAACCCAGATCGGGACTGACAGGTCACACACCACAACGCAACCAACCAATGTTGGACCTCAAGCACACGACACACACCGTGCTTGGTGCGGTTGGGTAGTTGGGGGTGGGGTGCCAAGGAAGGCGCAGGGAGGGCGTAAGTACCCGATGAAGTACTCGCGCCAGGCCGGGTTGCGCGACTTGAGCGAAGGCTGCGTGTGCCACTGTGCGTTCTCGAGGCTGAGCTTGACGTAGTACCGGCGGTCGCCTCCGCCCTCGAATTCGAGTCCTTCCACCACTACACAGAGATGAGAGGGGGCGGGCGAGATGTGATTTTCTTCTCTTCAAAGATGAAATTGAACAAAAGGGGAACGTGTACCTTCTATGATGACAGTGTGCCGAGTGGCGAAGCCGCTGTCGTTGTTGGTTGAACATCCCACCATCGGACTGCCGCCGAGCGCCGCAAGCTGGCCCAAATCTTCGACCGACGTGGACAACGTGTAATCCATCATCATCTTTTTGGTTTTTTCTGTTTGTTTTTCTCTGCCTCACTCGTCTCGACTTCTCTTCTCTCACTACGACTCCTTTGACTTCGACCTGAACGACCTTCTTGCCAAGATTGACAAAGAAAGAGATGACTTCCAAGGCAGTAATGGTCGAACGTTACTGGCCCCATAAAACAATACATTTGGCGCCGAAATGCGGCGAAATTGCCGGAGTGCCAGTCGCACACGCCGCACTTTGAAAAAGGCCGTGGCACGTTCTGGCGATTTTCAAGACAGCCCACAGCATGCCCCTGTTCAGGTTGCTGCACAAGGGCACCATCTTATGTATGAGATTGTGAGTGCCCAAAAGTGCTGTGTGTTGAATCTGGATGTTGTGGGATTGGCCAATACTTGGTATGACAGCAGAAAAGTGTCTTGGTTCAATCTCCAGGCTTGCCCACTATGACAGTGATCACCCCCAAACATGGGTGTGGACTTCACCACCTCCCATCCCAGAGAAGGGACTGCACCATGATGCCAACAATCTGTGGTGTGTGTTGTGTGTATCAGTTTAAAGCTGCACTTTGGATGCCAAGGGCAATGACAATGTGTTGTGCAGGGAAAGTATAAGAAATCCAAGAGAAATTCTATTTCTCCGGTCGACCGTGTCCTGCCCGTGGCGTCACGAGACAAGTGCAAGATGGCGAGGGGAAGGGTACCCATGGAGGGCTGCGGGGCCGCCCTTCTGGTTCGGCGATTAATGGAACGACGCGACGATTCTATCGCTGCAAATTCATCTCACTCTCTATCTCCATCCTCATCATCTTTGACATCCGGCTCCTCTCCACACTCATCGTCGTCGTCGTGCTGGGCCAGCCTGCTGCCGGTCTTGGATGGAGGGCTGGATCGCATGGTGCGATCGTCAGGTCTGCTGTTGGCCACGGTCGGGGTGGTCGGCACGCTGTGGTGCGTCGGTCTGCACTTCGTGGCCGTGCTGCCGCACTTCGTGGGCCACCGACCACTCGAGTCGCTGGCCGGGCTGTGCCACCTGGCCTTCTCTGTCTTCCTCGCCCACGGCGGCTTCTACAATTATTTTAAGGTATTTATTCTTATTTTTATATCCGTTTATGATCACTCTTTATGTTTCATATATTTATATATTGCTTATTTATTTATTTTTATTTTATTTATTTATTGTGCTGCTTACCTCGTGCAGTGCATGTACACGCCACCGGGCAGCCCTTCGCTGGTACACGCAATGACGCTGCATTGGTCGATGCATGCACCGCGGTTCGAAGCTGACACAACACATGTGTGCGCACACAGAGCGAGGCAAAGGAGAAGCAGTTAGAGTCTCTGCTCTTCAACCGCCGCTCGGCCGGACTGAAGGACATCAAGCACAACGCGTGGTGCCGCAAGTGTACGCATAGAACCCTCCACACACCTTCCCTCGCTCGCTCGCGCGTGGCAGAGGCCTCACTCCCGCTTGGCCTCCCCCACCAACCGCGCAGGCGAGAAGCCCAAACCGAAGCGAGCACACCACTGCTCTATCTGCAAAAAGTAACCACCCCCCCAATGCTGCGGTTCCGTCTCACTGGAGCACCATCGAACACTCTTTTTCTCTTTCTTTTCCTCTTGTTCTTTTTTTGGTGATCGTTGCAGGTGCATACTGGGCATGGACCACCATTGTCGTACGTTGTGCCCCCTTCCTCCTGGGCCACGCTCTGATATCAGAAGCAGATGATGAATCTAACCGGATGTTTGCGTGCAGCCTGGGTGTGGACCTGCGTGGGGCAAAACAACCAGAAGTACTTCTTCCTCTTCCTCTTGTATGCCTGGATGGGCAGCTTCTACGGGCTGGTGATGATGTCCTACCCCTTCATGGAGCTCTTCATCTACAAGGTACTCCTCCGCTCTCGCCTCTTTCGAGTGTATGAAGCCAAAGAAAAAAGGGGCTAACTGTGATTGATCGCTTGGTGCTCCATACAATGTCAGCCCTGGGAGATCAATGCATCGAGGGAGTCTATCTTCTTCTCCTGGATCGTCATCCTCTTTGGCAACTGTGCCGTGGCGGCAATGGTCATCTTTCAAGGCTACATCATCTCCAAAGGTGCTGCGTTCTCTCGCTGCGGTTTTGATCGATGCGTGGTCTGACCACGTCGTCATCATCATGAACATACATTCGATACAAATAGGGAAGACGACGCTCGAATTTTACCAGAGCCGGCGCCTCGCCAAGAAGGGAGCCGTGGCAGAGCAGGAATACTTCAACGAGTACGACCACGGCCTGCGCAAGAACTGGGAGATCTTCTTCGAGCGAAAAGGGTACGACCCTCTTCTTCCCACATGTGCCCCAAGCATTGTGGCTCATCAACTCCCACATGCTTGTTGGGCTGGTGGGTGCAGGTGGTCCCCGTTGTGGTTGTTCTCCTGGCTGCCGCCATCTCCAGGTGCAGTACCCCCAAATCATACATTCATGTGAGAACACCCATCCCACCTGCT